ACCCCAAAACAACAAACCCAAGCAAGTATTTGCGGTAAAGCTAAATTCCCCTCTAATAACTAGGACTGGAATTAAAATCAGTCGCAGTCCGGATTTAGCTGTTGTAAGTCTTGACTTCTAGTGTAGTTGTCTTACTTTTTTCACTTGTTCGGCAAAGGACCTGTCTGCCGCAGGGAGAAACCATTCTGCCGCTTCACCTAAGCGAGGTGATTCTAGCCATGCACTTAGAGGTTTACATCTACACTTTATTCAATACTCTTTAGCATATTCCTTCTCTTGCAGATCGCGAGGTGCCAAGCCACTTCGAAGCCTCCTGTTCTGAAACCACCTTACTTTCAAAATAAAAAAGAACAGCATCGAAAACAAAACCTCACAGCCCTCCTTCCTCCAGACACAGCAGCACAAATCCCTTTCGTATCATTTAATCACAGCTATAACCCGACAGCCCTTGTCTTTTGTCACTACCATGCCAGAAAATAATATTTACCATGATTGTCGGTAATATCCTTAGTGTTTTCCCTTCCCAACTCCTTCTTGCACATACAGAGACACACAGGCACCCGCCTCCCTGCCTTCTCCATCCTTTGGTTAGTTTGCAACTGGATGGTTTTGTTCATTTCCTCCTTTTTAATACACCATTTGCAAACTTCTGTGTATCTGGGCTCTCTGCGAGGTGGTGATGTGGCTACAGACCCTCTGCATTTTGTACTCCTGCGTGTGCGTGTGTGTGTGTGTGTGTTAGTGTGTGTCAGTCTGCACACCCGTGTGCGTGTGTGCGCTCTAGAAAAAGGCTATGTCTGTCTGTCCTCTCCCTACACGCAGAATCCAGGCCACTGCGATGTGGAGCTCAATAAGAAACTGCATGAATAAACACGAATAGAAAGTTGTGCTCAGCTAACCGAGGAAATCAGAGCAATACCAGGGCACCAACGTCCACATTTCTTTTCAGTTCGGGCCGGGGCAGTAACCTCATCTGGGTATGCTAAAAATTAAGGGCAACGGGCAAGCAGATCCAAGTCCCTCGAAAAGGCTGCTGTAATTGATCAGACAGAGAGAGATGGGGTGACCGAAGCCCACGCCTGACCGTGGAGGGCCAGCAGCAGCCGCGGCCCAGCAGGCACACAAAGGACCCCCAGCCATTCTAAAGGGCTCGGGCAGCGACCACGGAGAGAGAGGGAGGGAGAGAGGGAGGGAGAGAGAGAGGGAGGCAGGTGGCGTCGGTGGTCCCCAGACCTCCACGCCGGGTGGACCCGCAAATCGGAGCTAGCTGGGAATGAAGGCAGTGTTACAGCAGTGTTATAGGCGAGGGGTGGGTGGTGAGGGGGTTAACTATCGTCTCCAAACTGCTCCGGAACCGGCTGGTCTCGGCCCGACTTCCGACGGGCGGGGCGGGGCAGGGCAGTGCCCCCGCGGCGGAGGGCGAGAGGCGGCGGTGCGGGACGGCGCGGGCCGGGAGAGCGGGGCCGCCCCGACCGGCTCCCGGGGAGGCAGCTCGCTGGGCTGCCGGGCTCCGGCCATCTGCCTCCTGTCCTCCGGCTTTCTCTTAAATATTGATCAGACGCACTTCAGCTTCTGAGTAATTTCATCTTAATCAGCGGCCGGGCTCGGCGCGGATAACAAACTAATGCTGGAGAGGGCCTGTGGATAATGCCGGGCCAGGGGCAGGGAGGAGGCAGCCCTCGGATTTGGTGGGGCTCGATAGGCCCTATCTTCCCGGGGCAGATGGACTTAGTGGGCGAGAAGGCTTAAACGCAGCTTTTCATAGATTTACACCTCAATCAGCCATTCAGGTTTTTTATGCAAATCCTAAAACAACATCATTTATCCATTACGAAGCCCGGCTTTGAAGCGGCATATCATTAGCTGCACCCTCGGCACCCCGAAATCATGCAGGCACCGACGCCTTCTGTATGAGATGTGTCCTCTCCCCCCACAAGCCCCACCGGCTCCAGGGAGAGGCGGACACCTCTAGCGCGGCTGGGGCAGCTCACCCTTCGAGTTTGGGCTGGGGATCCGACCGAAGGAGCAACTTTTTGGGAATGGGGGTGACAAATGGCGCGAGAGAGTAAAGGCCCTGCCCTTCAGCTTAAGCTGTGCTGGAGCCTAAGGCCAGATACCAGTGGGGCGAGGCTAAGGGCGATCTCTGGCCTCCCCTAGCAGCCACGGCACAACGGGGCGATATTCGGGAGGCTTAATCAGAGGGAAGAAATATTCGAACCTATCAGTGTAAGGCTGAGCTGAGGTAGATTATTGCTGCCGGCTTGACGCCTTCTAGCTGCAGCTTCGAGACGCGAAAATGAAAAGAAAGAAAAAAAATGTATGCCCCAAACTTTCACGACTCTGAATCCTTTCAGGTATTAAATTCCGTTAAAAACACTGCCGGATGAGAATAACGCTGCTATCAGAAAGAAACAGAAATACTGCCCTTAAAAACAATGTACGGACATCAAAGATCTTCCTACCCAGAACTGGGGGTGACTGGAAAGCCAGTTTGTTCTTCTAAAGGCCTCTCCGCTGCCTCTCTGCCGGTGGGGAGAGAAAAAGCAGCCCAAGCTCTAGCGTGAGACCCGGTGAGGGTGCCGGCCACTGGGGAACCTTGTATTCCCTGCTGGGTAATATTTTTCCCTTCAAAAAGCCGCGTGGGGGAGGGGAAGAACTAAGTCCGTCACAGCACCCACGAGGAACACGGTAGCCCTATTGTGTGTCTGCCCCCAGGCGATTCCCTTCCATTTCGGTTTCGTACGAAGGGAATTTATTTTCTATTAACTCCCCACTCGTGTTGGCGGTGGGCCAGTGGCGCGGCCGGAGCTGCCCGTGGGGAGGACCCGGCGCCTTGAGGGGAGCCCGCGGGGCGGGGGAGGCGAAGCGGGACCGGGCGGCCGCTGCCTCGGGCCCTGCGTGTCCCTCAGCGCGGGGGCTCCCGCCACACGCGGGGACGTGTTCCCTACGGGCTCACTGCCCTCACACGCGCGGCTTTTCCTCAGGGGAACCTCAGGTGTGTGAACGTGTTCACACATCAGTTTATTCTTTAAAATTACCCGTTACTGGCTTGATCTAAAATCTCGCACCCTATGGCGGTTCTCCCAAATCCACAGGTAGCCTCTTGAGGCGTGGGGGGGAAGGGAGGAGCGGGGAAGAGCCCATGCGCTTTCTATGTCTCTCCGCAGACCTAGCTCGGACTTCACTTAAAAAAAAAAAAAAAAAAAAGGAGGAGGGAAGAGGGAGAGAGGATTCGGGCAACACAAAGATAGATCGGAAGACCATATCAGTTTGGAAAAGGTCAAGAAATTCCAGGCACGTTTCTCTCTAAATCCCTGGTAATATTCAAAATTGTATTTTCAAGTAAAAACAAGTTTAAATTTCACCTCTTGCTAATTCACGACTGAAAAATCTGCCCAGGGCAAAGCAAAACTTTAAGGAAAAAAGAAAAAAAAAAAAAAAAAAAAAAAAGAAAAAGAAAGAAAAGGGGAAAAGGAAAGAAAGAAAGATGCTGAAATACTGTTAGTCATGCAAATAAAGGCTTCTTTCAGCACATTACAATATACTCCGGATTCGAGGGGAGGAGCTGCAACCCGTTAAGGGCGAGGAGTTTTTGTTTTTGTTTTCATTTAAAGCTACAAAACAAATCCCGAAATGTCTTAAACGCTCTCTGGAGACACCCATCCTTGCAGACAGGCGGTCGGAGAAAGCTTTTTCTCTCGCAGTGCACAAAAAAAAAATGACCGGGGTGAGGGGAAACGATGGAGCCCGCCGTGGCGGAGGGGACACGGAGGGACGCGGCCGTGCCTCACGCCGCCGCCGCTACCGCAGCACTGTGCCCCCGCTGCCGCCCGCAGCCTCCTCGCAGGGTCGCTCCGTCCCTGTAAGATCCCTCCGGGGTGTCCCGCCGAGCCGGGGAAGGCAGGGGCCGGAGGGGCGCAGGGGCCGGAGGGGCGCAGGGGCCGCGCAGCGCTGCGCACCCCGCGGCGGGACAGAGAGAGGGGCCAGGAGCCCACGGGGAAGGAGTGGTTTTCCGTGGCGGACAGAGACACCAACATCGCTGGGTAGATAAGAAAATGGAATACTGTATTTGATTTAGAAAGTTTGTACATATAGATAAACACGCAGTTAAGGAAACAATAGTTTAAGCGTCCTACGTGGAGTTTAAGAGACCCCCCAAAGCTGCTATGAAATACTCAAAATAGCTTTTGCATAAGATAACTACAGTTGCACCCTAAGCTTTTTTTTTTTTTTCTTTTTCTTTTTTTTTTTTTCTATCGCTGAGGTCCCTTTTGGAAACCTAGCACGTCAGATTTTGACGGCTAAGTTTGTGCAAGGAACACCGAGTCAAGGAAAATAAAAAGGAGAGAGAGAGAAAGGTCTGGAGGGAGATAGAGAGAGGGGAGGAAGAAAGAGGAGAGCAAATATCATATACAAGCATTTCTACACATATATTACAAACTGGGAAAATGACCGCATCATTAAGATATACATAATTCATATAAAATTTTGAAATAAAAATAAAAATCTGTTACAGTCATAACTATTCTTTTTCCACATTTATAACCAGTACCCACACAGGCAGTGACAGAAGTGTAGAAAAAAAGGTGCTTACGAATAAAATGATTGTCTGCGGAACAAAAAAACAGAAAATTGCATCTTGGCTGGACCATCACTCGGACTAAAAAAAAAAAAAAAAAAAAAAAAAAAAAAAAAGACAGAAGGAGAGAGGAAGAGAGAAAGAGAAATAGGACCAACAAAAAGGCAATAAACATTTGTTATTTCCCTCTTCAAGGAGTTCCTTTTAAATTTTTTTTATTTTTGATTTTTGTACAAATTCGATCGGAGTTTGCATTTGTTTGTCTGGTTTCTGTTTGTTTTCCTTTACTATAGAGAATATTTTTTCCCAGATACAAATTTAATCATCATCATCATGCAAGTGGGTGAAATGCGTCCATGGAAAAGCGCAAAGGAGAAATCGTGCTTGTCCTAAAAAGAATACAATTGTCACTTTTGCTTTGTTTTTTTTTTCTTTCTTTTTATATATATAATAATTATTATTTCCCGCCCTCCCCCCCACCCTTCCCGCTGCAGCACCAGCGTTTGTGACTGTTGAAGTTTTAGCTCCATCTCTTGGTGGTGGTGTTGGCTGACGGTGGTGGTGGTGGTGGATTCTCTGATCCCTGTCTGTTTGTTTGCTATTATGTTTGGGTCGGGTTTGGCCTTTTCTTTCCTCCCGGCTGTGTGTGTGCGTGCATGCGTGTGTGTGTCCTGATTCTAGGTTGCCTCGGTTTGTTTTGCTCGGGACGGGGAGAGGGTGCTTGGCTGTTTGGATTTGGATTTTTTGTTTGTTTGTTTTCCGATATCATACATCACATTCCGAGTCGCTGGAGGTTACCGAGAGGATGGAGGTGCCCGTCTCGGCTCTTTCTGTCAAACTGGAGACGCTGGTGGTCGGGCTGGCCGCCGTGGACGGAGACTCGGCCGAGCTGTGTGTCGGGCAGCCGGGCTCTGCCAGCGACCGCATGCCGCTCTGTCCTATCGCCTGGTGCTGGAGCCTGCATCGCGCCGGGAGACAAAACAACAGCACAGCCCCGCTCAGACACCGGGCGCGGCCGAGGGGACGGCGCCCGCGCGGCCCTGCGCCCTCCCGGGGACGGCCCGGTCCGGAGCGGGCCGAGCCGTGCGGCCGGGCCGCGCTGCCCCCGCCGCCGGGCAGGCCGCCTCGGGGCCACGGAGCCCGGGGCACGCACAGCCACAGGGACCGCGGTCTGAAACGGGACGGGGAGCGCGGGGACGAGCGCTTCCCCGTGCCGGCCTTTGCAAAACGCGAGCAGCGCTTCTCTCTAACCGGAGTGCCATTCATTCATCCCCGCAGCACGGCGGGCCTAGGAGAAACCGGGTGTGGGTGAGCCCCTGCAACGCTTGGACACCGTGAAAAGCTTCCAGGAGCCGTCCGTAGCGGGCAAGAATCCTACTGGAACCCCATTTTGTGCTCTAGCCAACACCTGCCTAAATATTTCCCAGTGCACAGACACTGTGAGTCTGCGGTAGGGAAGGAGGGAGGTCCTGTCCCAGGGACGCAGCGCTATGAATAAAATAAAAGAAGGAGAATGTGGAACACAGCCCTTCTCTCCCCTCGAAATTTAAGTCCTTTTTTCATCTGAAAGCCATAATCAGCTTTAAAGTGCTTGTTCTTTCATTTCTTTCCTCGTTAACGCTTAAGGGAATATTACCTTCGAATTTTTTTTTTAAGAGGCAATAAATATTTTTTAGGTACCCTAGCGTATTGCAAATATTCCTCTTGGTCCGCTTATTCCACTCGAAACCCAAAGAAAGTCTAATTCAGGGATAAGAGCTAAAAGTCCTGGACTGAGCAGCCAGCCTCAACCTCTAGCGCCAAGGATTGTCTGTGTGAATCAAAACACACTCTTCGCTCAAATGTTTCTCACTGGGGTATTTTTTTATTTAACTTCCTGCGAAGAACATTAAAAATGTAGCCGGCTTATTCTACATTTTTCATTATTTTAAGTTGTCTAATTTCAGGGTCTTTGATTTTTCTCTCATTTACAAATCCTGGTGCATTCATCTGCTGTCAACAGCGTTGAGTCAACAAAAGCATCCGTAGGCAACTTCTGTTTATTTACAGTCCTAAGCTGATCTGTTTTCCATTTAATGGAAATTAAATAGCGAGGCACTTTTAGGTTGCATTTCTCCTACAGAATCTTTAATCAGTAGCACCACTGATATAATTAGGAGGAATTTAAGAGGCATCATTTATAAGAAGAAGTTTTTGTTTACCCGCTTACAGTGATAGCGAAACTTAAATTAAAATAAAACCAATGTGTCAAACTAAATTAAGGGTCCATTTTCATTTGCAAAATAACTTTTGCGACAGTAATGAGAAATAAAGGAAAAAAAGGCAAAAGAAAGGAAGAAGGGTGCCTCGCTTTTATCACGGCAAAGCGGAAAGGGAAAAAAAAAAAAAGGAAAAAAAAGAAAAAAGACACCGAGAGACACTCAAATAAATGCAAGTGCAAATGCACAGGAAACACACGACCAGGAGGCCAGGTTGCCATGTGGTGTAAACACAGAAATGGAGATGCAGGGGGAAAAAAATTCCCGGTCTCTTAAATGTTGTTTTGTTTTTGTTGTGGGATTTTTTGGGTTTTGTTTTTTATTTTTTCTCTTCTCCCTGAGCCAAAGAGCTCTGGGGTATGCCTGTGCTGGTCCTGCTGCGCATGCAGAGCAGCACGAACAATTGGAGCGGAGCCGCCGGCTCCGGCGAAACCCGCTCTGAACCGCGCAGCCTGCCTCGGCCTTTCGGCCGGGGAACCGCGCCTGAGACCGGCCAGGCACGAATCCCGGCAAGCCGAAAGCCAAACCGCAGCCCAGCGACCCAGGGCCGTGGGGTTTCCCGTCCCCCGCGCCAGCCGCCGGCGCAGGGAGGGGAGGGAGGCCGGGAGAGTCGGGCGCTGCCCCCGTCGCAGCCGATGCGCTCCGCGCATATCTACACACACGCGCGCCCGCGGAGCTGCCCACGCCCGCCGGGAGCCCCAGCCCTGTCCGCATCCCAAGAGCCCGAAGAGAGCCGGGGCAGGGCTGGCGGCACGTCAGGCAACTTTGAGCCGTGCCTGTCCCCTTCGCGTCCCCGCGGCTGCCGGGAGAAGACCTACCCGCCCGGCGGGGGGACCGATTTCTCCCCGGTGGAGTGGAGGAGGAGGAGGAGGAGGAGGAAAGGAGAGGCAGAGGCGCGCTGTCGCCCAGGCGGCTGCCGAGCAGCGGAGCGCGGCCGTCCGCCCGCACGGTCCCGCCGCCCACCTCGCCCCCCGCCCCGGAGAGTGGCACAGCAGCCCCACTGACCTGTTTTTAGCCGCCGCTGCTCTGTCTCTCTGCCTTCGGTTTTTGAACCAGTTGCCTACTTGCGTGGGGGTGAGCCCCGTGGCCTGAGCCAGTTCCCTTTTCTTGCTGGGGTTGGGGTAAGGGTCCTGCAGGTACCACTCCCTCAGGAGGCTGCGAGTCCTCTCCTTGAAGCAGTGCGTCTTCTGCTCGCCATCCCAAATGGTCCTGGGCAGCGGAAACTTCTTCCTCACCCTGTATTTATCAACCGGCCCCAGCGGACGACCCCTTAGCTTCTCGGCCTCCTGGTAGTGCGCTTCGAGCCACATGGCCTGCAACTTGCCGTGGGACTCCTTGGTGAATTTGTGGTTCTCCAGGATGTGATAGAGGTCTCGGAAGTTGCCCGTGTGGAAGGCCACCACCGCCCGGGCACGGAGGATGGACTCGTGCTTGTTGATGGCCTCGCATGCCCCCGGCGCCACCGGCAGCGACCAGAGGAACCTCCCCAGCCTTTCTATGTCTCCAGTCTCCTCCAGCGTCTCGCAGACGCTGGCCACTTGCTCCGGGGAGAAGTTGAGTGTGGGCAGCTGAAACATTGACAACTCTTCGTGGGGTGCCCGGGAGCTGCCGCCTCCACCTCCGCCGGCACCGGGGCTGCAGCCCGAGCCGCTGCCGCTGCCGCCGCCGCCGCTGGCGAGAAGGAGGGAGCGGTGGTGCGGATCGGCGGCGAAGTTTGGCAAGAAGAAATGGGTGGGATAAAGCTCTAGCGGGGACCTGAACACCATGGGATGACCGGGGAGAGGGGGAGATAAATCAAGGAGAAAAGAAAGAAAGGGAGGAAGAAGGGAGGAAAGGGCACACGCACCGCGCACGCATCCACACCCGCACACGCACACACAGCCACATAGAGGCACGGGGGCACACACACTCACACGCACACGCGGGCACACGCACACGCGCGCTCACACACACCCCACACGCACACGCACTCACACACACCCGGCCCCGCGCCGCCGCCGAGTCAGGATTCAGTGATTCAACAGCGATCGCCCTAATGACAACAGCCTCATAATATCTCCCCTAAATCCACAGTGAGTGCAGCGCTGAAACATTTTGTTTCGCTTTTCTATTGGTCTTCTGAGTGTCGTTGTGGCGTTGCCATGGCAGCCGCTGCCAATCACTGTCAGCCCTGCCAATCATTACGGAGTACGTAAGGAAGGTTTTTACCACTTCGCCCAAATGCACGGGGGGGAGGGAAGCCGGGCGGTTGGTGGAAAAGCCTGGTTTGTTGTTTGGATTTTTTTTTTTTCCTCCTTAATCTTTGCAACTCCTAATCTCAGCACTTCCCCTTCTCCCTGTCTCTCCCCCCTCCTTCTCCACACCCCTCCTAAATAAGGGATCAAATAATGCGAAAAGCAGTGTGCACATATTTGTTGAATGGGATGAGCAATTAGAGGGTGGAATATTATTGTGATCTTAACGAGCCTCGTTAAAGCTAAAGGAGATATGGGGGGAAAGTAAATGGGCCAGGCTGGGATACACGTTCGGATAAAGGGCTCCTAACTGAGACAATTTACACATGATTTGCACGTAGTTTCACTTCATTCTGCCTATCTGAGCACTAATAGTGCCGGGGAAGAAAAGAAAGATGAGATCATTAGACCCATCCTCGCGCCGGTGACCCTCCCAGAAGCAGGCACATACAGTACAGGCTGGGTTTAGCCCTGGTTCACGGAAGAGTCTCTCCTCCCCTCTCCCGCTCCCTGCCCCTCTCCGCGGAAGGAGGGATCCGCTGTCTGCGGAGTTCCGCGGCCGCTCCGCCGGGAGCCGCCCAGGGCGCCCAGCCCGGATCTGCTCCGGCCGCCCGGCTCCGAGACCGACCCCAGCGGCGCCCCGCTCGCTGCCTCCCCCGTCCCACTCCTCTCTTCCCCGCCCTCCCGCTCCTTCTCGTCTTCCCTTTCCCTCTCCTTTCTCTTCCTTCTCTCCACTTTGTTTTTCTTGTATTCTGGCTTTCCTCCTCCCACTCGCCTCACCTCCCGTCGCCCCTTCCTTTCTCCGGAACCCAGCGACCTTGCGAGGTTGTTCCTCACCCCCAAATCCGCCGGGGCTTTACCCTGTACCTCTCCTTTTCCCCGCTAACTCTGCCCCCCAACTTGCAAGGCTCTCGTGCGGGGAAGAGGAAAGGGATGCGAGCCAAAGTGGTTTTGGGATTTTAAAAATTTGTATTCATTTATTTATTATTTTTATTATGAAATTGAGAGCAGGAAAATATCCGTAGTGGTGGTTTGAGTCCATCCCTCAGTAAAACACAGCTGGGTCGTCAGACCTTGCTACCATGCAACTATATTTATTATTAGGTATGTTGCTTTTAAGAAGATTTAATCAGCATCTTGAGCTGGTAACTCTTTTGTTTGGTTTCTGTAGCTATGGAAGTGTGATTTACAGAGATTTGTACGGGTCATGGACATCTTTCCAGACTTACTGTGTATATTTAGACAGGACTTTGCTTGGTGTTAAAAAGTGTATATTTTGAATAGGTTCACACACAGTAGCAAACAATACCGACATTGTAAAGGCATGTACAACGAGTATTGAAACGCAGCATCCAGACTTCAACTAATCTGCCCTCAATAAAGCTGAAATAATTATCCTAAGCCGCCTTTCTAGAAGAAAAATCATTCAGGAATTCAAAACTTTTTTAAAGATCTTTTCTGCATTCCGATGGAGATCGAGGGGTGAGGCTTGGAGCCCAAACTACTTTCAGACATCAATGGAGGGAAGGAGGGGGGGAAGTGAGATATTACAATTAAAATGTGAAAACATAGCGTGACTTGCCCTATCAGAAGGATAATAATAATACTGCTATGGGTGGTAGAAGTTCTTTAGCTGCGCTCCACACTGGTTGTGATCCTTTCACAGCGCACTCCTCGTGAAATAATTCTAAGTGGCAGATGAATAGGTCCAGTTGGAAGAGCTGCTGGACTGGAAGAAGCTCGCTGTATGACACATTCATCTGATTTCCACTAAACTGTCATCGGTGTGCTACATGGCTTCATAGTTCTAATGGAAATAATTCGCCCTCTTAATTTTTAGTGATCTGCTTAAGCACTTCTGGTAACAGACTTGGGAAAAACTTCTTTTTACACTCTCACCTTCCCTGGCTCATAAGGAGGGAAAGAGACTTCTCAGCCCCTCTGCAAATCGACTTGGAGGTATTAATTGGACAACAATATGTTTAGCCAAAGATTTTAATACACACACACACACACACAAAATCTTTTTCTTTGTAATCCTTTCCTTTTATGTAAAGGATTATAGAGGGGAGAGTGGGGGGAATTCCTGCGGGAGTTTCTTAATATTTGATTCCATTTTCTTCCAGCTGTAAATTAAACTACCTTAAAATATATTTCCAGAATAACAATCAAACCGTCTCTGCTGTTTTGGGTTGATTTTTTTTTTTTTTTTTAATCACACAGACTATCATACACTGGTCGTTCAGCTTTAGGTTGCAACTCCTCTATTAGTATTCCTGATGAATCTCTGAAAGCTTTTACATATATTCTTTCTTTCTCTCTCTTTTCCTTCCGCCTCTCTCTATTTTCTTTCCCCCTCCCCCTTTTTTTTTTTTTTTTTTTTTTTTTTTTACCTTTCTCCCCACCAGACATATGAAGCATGTAACAGCTGCATTTCTGGCGAAAATCTTTCTTCCACAATATCCTTCCATAGTTTTTTTTAATGCATGTACTCTGTGTGCCTGTGTGTTTATAACCAAACAAACCCACAACCCTGCCTATCAGCTAATACCAAGGTCTTCCTGAAGCCCAGTCTCCTCTCTGTGCCGTGAAGGTCCAGCACGGGAGCTCTGCTAGCCAGAGGCTCTTACGAGGACGGACCCAGCATCCTCAAACATTTCCGCCGGCTCTCGCTGCTGGAAGAAGAGGGTCACCGAGACTCGGTGGTCGTTAGCCAGACCTCGGGGAGCAGATCCTACGCTTGCCCAGCCCGGCCGGGGATTCAGCGCTCCCCTAAGCCTGTTAGGGACACACTCTCATGTCCTGAAATGTGCAAGCAGATAATTGTTGGCGCTCCAGCTTTGTGTGAGGAGGCCAGGGTGTAAATGGCTTTTAATGACTGCAGCTGCTGGCTGCAAACTGTCAATGGGATCGGCTAATACCGAGCCCGGACCCGCCGGGCGCCCAGCCGCAGCCTG